GCGTGGGGGAGTGCGCAGGGGCGGAAGTTTCCGAGGAGGACCACGCGCCCCGCCTGGGCGTGAGCGCGCAGGGGTGGTGACTTCGTCCGTCAATTCAGAAAGTTCTCCTCTCTGCAATGCTGTCAACAATTCAGTGAACGTTCAATTTAATTTAAATTTTAAAAAGTTTTACTCATGCCCGGCTGGCGTGGCTCCGTGTTTGAGCTCGACCTGATTGCAGGCTGGACCCTCAGGGTGGGGCGTGCAGGAGGCAGGCGATCAGTGATTCTCTCTCATCATAGATGCTTCCATCTCTCTCCCCCTCTCCCTTCCTCTCTGAAAGCAATATATATGTTTGAAAGTGTTACTCAGTGCCACCATGATCCCAACAATCGCCACTGCCATTGTGGAGTTTACGGAGTGCTGGAGAGGGCAGACATCAGTCCAATAAGGAAACCATATAATGGTAAGGTTGGTGTGGGCACCAGGGGAGGTATCTGGGGAGGGAAATGTAAGTCCAAACATTTGGTGTCTGGCTTCAGAGCCTCTCTTAACGATTTCAGATTTTGCCTTTAGAAAAACAGAGGCACAAAAACGGAAGTATATATCCCCAGGGCACAACACTAGTGACAGCACCAGCCTTCAAACGCCAACGCCCAGCTGATCTTTCTACAACACCGATCTGAAAATCCCTTCACTTTATGCCTGTTTCCAAATGTTTAAATTTGTTGAAAGGTGTTGTGTGTGTTTTTTAAAGGCTGTTGAGAAGGGGAAGGTGGCACCTCATTCTTATCCTCTCTTTATCATTCAGCTACCCGAGCTGTGTCCCAAAGGAAAGACTAGGAAGCATGCAAGAATCACAAGAAATATCAACTGGGAGGTTTGAATGGCCCCATAATTTCCAACACTGTCTCCCCATTCTCTGATATGGAAAATTTAAATTTTCTCAGTCCTATATAAAGTGCTACAATAAACACAGCAATTTCCTCCAAATCAGACACACACTCTAACTCAGCGGTTCTCAACCTGTGGGTCATGAGCCCTTTGGGGGTTGAATGACCCTCTCACAGGGATCACCTAAGACCATCGGAAAACACATATATAATTACATATTGTTTTTGTAATTAATCACTATGCTTTAATTATGTTCAATTTGTAACAATGAAAATACATCCTACATATCAGATATTTACATTTCGATTCATAACAGTAGCAAAATCACAGTTATGAAGTAGCAACGAAAATAATTTTATGGTTGGGGGTCAACACAACATGAGGAGCTGTATTAAAGGGTTGCGGCATTAGGAAGGTTGAGAACCACCGCTCTAAATAATATCTGAAGCTACCCCAGGGAGCACAGTTGAAGCCTTTTCTGTGTCCTCCCAATGTAGTCTATTTGGATCAGATTAACTGATGGATCAAAATTCTCAACATAAGCCCTGCTTTTAAGGACTTCAATAACCTACTCTAGCCCTAACTAAATAAGAAATACTGGAGTAAAACCCTTGGCTCAGGTAATTGTCCCCTGGCAAGCTTCCCCAACCCTTTCTCATCTTGTCCCTGGGCCAAAGCTGAGGCCTTTATTACCCCTCAGTAGTGAACCCCTTCTTCTGATCCTGTGCCACAGGTGTCCCAAGGCAAGGATGCCTTCTGTCAAGCCTCAGAATTTTGCCTCCAGCCGTTTTCCTCTGTGGAAGGCTGTCCCTTTCCCCTGCCCATTATAAATCTTAGCTCAAGTTTCACCTTCTCCCTGGATTATCCCAACCCAAACTGCTTTCTTTTGAGCATAACTACAGTGCTTAGTAGAGTTAGAACCTCACTGCATGAGGCATATTGTGCTTTTCCCGTTGTGTTATGCATGGTGATTTCTTTGTCCTTTCTAATAGAATTGTAAAGTCAAGGAATTCTATAAGGGGGCTATGTTTGTACTTCTGTCTCTCCTAATGCATACTGACGAAATGTCACTCGTCATTTTTCTTTCTGCCTTTTCCCCATATTCCTCTTACTCTTAGTGAAGTGTCCCATTCATACATAGAAATCTTAAAACTTTTTATATAAATATTAACCATAATGACTGTGGCGATATCTTCTGTGGTATAGGATAGAATCTTTTACACACACAACCTAGCTTAGGACTTCAAGGTTTCATAATGAGTATCTGAATTCGTAACAACACCCATACACAAACTTTCTAGTTCTAAGCTTTGGGTACATAATAATGAATAAGATGAGTTTCCTGCCACATTCAAACATATATTCCACCAGAGAGTATAAGTGCCACACAAAGATTTAATCAGGTGAGGTGATCAGGAGTGATTGAGAGGCTACCTTGATTGATTAGATGGTTGAGGTTGGTTTTTCTGATGAGGTAATTTGTAAGCTGAGACCTGAATGATCAGAAGCAATTATCCATGGGAAAATCCGATATAAAAACATCCCAAGTAGAGAGAAGAGCAAGTACTTAAACACTACAGCAAGCATGTCAAACTTGCCACCAGTGGGCCGCATGTGGCCCACAACAAATATTTTTGTGCCCCAGCCAATATAACGGTATGTACAAAACGTTTTAATAAAAATTTTGTAAATTCATTTTTGCAATATCCTGTTATACATAATTATTAATAACGAATGACAATGTTCGCTAATGACTGATTACTATAATCGTGTTGCATCCATTTCCCTTACGCGCCTGCCTTACGCGCAGGTGCACGTTTGCTTTATTGAAGCCCACATAAACTTATACTTTGTTTATTTGGCCTGTGTTAGCTTTTGAGTTTGACATGCTTGCTCTACAAGGAAAAAGAGCTCAAACGTATCCAAATAACAAACAAACAAAAAGGCAGGGCTAGATGTTGCAGGCCTTTGTAGACCAAGATATGGAGATTAAATTTTATTCCAAGAGAAATGGGAAACCAGCTGTCATTGCCAGCTCTAGGATGACACCCACCAGTCCTGCCTTGGTCTAATCCCCTCCCATTGTGTGTGGGCCAGACTAACTTGCTTCCAACAGATAGAATATGGACAACAGGATACAATTGGTGAAAGCGATGGGGTGTCACTTCAAGATTAGATTATAAAAGATTTGAACAGACATTTCACCAAAGATGATGTACAGATGAAAAATAAGTACACAAAAGGTGACCAATGTTATTAGCCATTAGGAAAATGCATATTAAAAACACAATGAGATACTATTACACAACTATCAGAATCTGTGAAAGACTGATCATGCCAAGTGTTGGAAAGGATGTGGAGCCACTGGAAGTCTTATGAACAATTAACGTCAATATAAAATAGCACAGACACTTTTGAAAACAGTTTGGTAGTTTCTTAAAAGCTGCCATGTGACCCAGCCACCCCTCAGCTAAATTTTTACCCAAGAGAAATGAAAGTATGTTCATGTGAAGACTTACAGATAAGATATTGACAGCAACTTTATTTGTAATAGTCCAAAACTGAACACAGCTCAATGTCCATCACTAGGTGAATGATAAACCAATCATGGTATGTCCATTTACTTGAATACTATAGTCTATGCAACAACTTCAATGACTCTCAATTATACTCAGTGAAAGAAGACCCCCAAAAAAGAATTTATGTAGATTCTAAGAAATGCAAACTAACCTATTGTGTCTGAAAGCAGATCAGTGATTGCCTACTGATGCAGCGTGGCAGGGAGAGGGTGGAGGGAAGGATTACAAAGGGGCGGATGGAAACATTTGGGGGTGATAGATGT